CCTTCAGATTGTAAATTGCAAAGATCAGCATGTTTCCAAAGGTGCAGTCAATGTGAACGTAGCAAACAATATCATGCCGTAACATACAGCAAGAATTCGGGCAAGAAAAAGGTAAGAATGTTTTTCAACATGGAAGATCAACAATATTTTATAAGCATACAGTTTCATATGGATATGTGCGAGAATTTTAAGCAGAACCAGAGGAAATGTTGATGTAATAGTTATAGGGAAGAACCCACCCTTTTGGAAAACCATCAAGCACCTAAACCTTTTGTTTCATTTCTGAAAAAGGGGATGTGCACCAAGGAAGCACTGCAATGTATTTGAAAATGTATTCTACCAGCGTTATCGTCGTCCTCTGCAGTTGTATACAAAAAGCAAAAATATCATATACCTCGAGAAATAGTTTCGTTGCGGCAGGAAATTATCATGGAGGCATTTTCCTTAGAAATAAACAACCACAGACGCACATTGGTAAACCCATGTCTATTCAGTTAGCTGAACATGAACACAGGAACCTAGAATTGAATACACCAAAAGGCAAATAAACAAGATGTACTTTTTAAATTTACTCTTTGTCTACAGTTCACTCTATAAATTAACGTAGAAAGACCTATTTAATAATAGCAGGGACTGATCTGATAATAGTGCTAAGGAGCAATGCCTATAACAGGAAAAGATAGAGGCTAAGAAAGGTAATAGTGTTGAAGTTTTCAATAACAGTGCCTTATCCAAATCTGCATAAAAAGAGACAGTAACCTAACGTGTATGGGAATTGTTGTAAATCAAAATGCAAAAACAAGAGGGAAATAGTAAGACTGGAAATAAATTCAATGTAAAAAAGGTAGCAACCTGAGATGAGTACAGATATCTGCAAGATCATGGTTGCTCTATAAATCACCCATACAGAATGCAGGAAGACAAGATAGCAAATGAACAATAGGCATGAAGTAATAATGAGTTGATAACCCATATCTTGTTTTTTTAAGAACCCAGTAACCAAAAAAGGCTATAAACATGCAGTAACGGAAAACATGGCCCCATAATTTTAGAAAGCAGAGAAGGCCCTTTTAGCATACACATGAGCCTCTATATGCGAGCAGTAATCAAAGTAGGTCCTGAGAACATGAGCATTGAGACAAATAGAGGCATGTTTGTAACAGACATGAGGGCATGAGTTTAAATTAATTGGATAGATCTTTACATATACTTTGACAACATATGCCAACTCAATAGTAAGGATGTATGCATAGCTAAATAGTGGTTCTATGTTGTGTGAGTCCTACATTAACTTAGGTAGCTTATAACATAGCATGGAATTGTTTGCAAAGTAAAAAAAAAGATAAGAACATAAAACAGACCTAGTCCACCAGGTTGGATGGAAAGAAAAAAAGCTAACCTATAGTGAAAGTGCATTTGCCTCCTACGTGAGTTTTGGTGTATTGATAACATCAAAATTAGAGATTAATAAGATTTTAATAAGATATATTATAGCTTTAATCCATTGAAAGTTTTAAAAGGGTTTATCTAAGATGAAATGGTATCCCTCAATTCTTCAAGTGCACAAAGCGAACGAATTCAAAGCGCTCTCCAAAGCCTTTTTATTTTGTTTTGGGTTTAGGTATGCCGTACTATAAAGATGGATGCAAGTTTAGGTGGTCTGAGGAAGTTAGAGTGCTCAAGCATAAGAATAAAATCTAAAGAGAGACAAAATCACCTCACGAACACTTGGACATAGTTTGTGGACTTTTGGTAGTCAGAAGTTCCGGCTGTCGGAAGTCTTGACGTTTGGTGCTGGAAGTCCCGGCGCTTGCTGACTTAGCCGCAGCCCGCCTACGCATCTTCGCCCGTCGGAAGTACCGACGGGAGTTGGGAGTTCCTGGTGCCGGAAGTTCCGGCTCCCTCCGAAAGTCCCGACACTTCACGACTTAGCCGTCTGCGCATCTTTGCTCGTCGGAAGTCCCGGCGCTTTGGGACTTAGTCGCTTGGCGCGTCATGTCTGTCGATAGTCCCGACAGAAGCCGAAAGTCCTGGCTGCCGGTAGTCCCGGCGACCGTCGGGAGTTCCGACGATATGCAAGCAGGCCCAGTGGACCGTCTGCATGAACAGTGTTTTGCGTTGAGCCGGAAGTTCTGGCGATCTATGTTGGAACTTTCGACTCAGATCTAAACGGTTGGATTTGTCTTTGAGTATAAATAGCTCTCTCCTCTCTTCTAACCGGTAATCACTCATTCATTGCTCACCAACCTTCGTCCAAAACAGCTCCCAAGCATTCAAGGCTCCCATCTCCTCTCCTCTTTGCTCCAATCTTCGATTCCCCTAGGGTTTTGAGTAAAAGCAGTGTGGATTGAGTGAGAGAATCACTTTGGCAAGCTTGAGCACTTGATTTCTTCGTCAAACCGGTTGGATTTGCCTCTATTACTCTTGGGTTCTTGGAACCCTAGCCGGCTAGGCGTCGGCCAAGAGCTTCTGTCTTGTGGAAGAGCCTCGGAAAGTTTGTATTACCCTCAATTTCTTAGTAGAAAGCTCAAGTAACCTTTGTGGTTGCTTTGAGAGAGGCAAGGACGTGGAAGAGACTCTGACCTTTGTGGTCACCTCAACAACAAGGACGAGGAGCTCCTTTGTGGGGTTGCTGAATCTTGGGATAAATTCTTGTGTTCCGCGTGCTTATTGTTGTTGTGATTTGTGCTATCACATTTGTTCTTGTTGGTTTGTCTTCCTCCCCAACTCTCCACTTAGGGTTTGGACTCGATCTACGGAGTGGTGACCTTTCGGCGTCAAAGGAGCAACCCCAACACTTTATCTTACCAGTAGGGAGTGGGGTTGTAAGATATCTTTCATTCAAAGTTCGTTTTAACACTTGTAGTGCTATTCTCGTAGGTGTCGAAACTCCCGACTGTTTGCGTCGGAACTTCTGGCCAGCCCAAACTGTCGGGACTTCCGACTATCACTGATATTTGACTTTGAGGTTACACAGAAATTTTTAGATACGCCTATTCACCTTCCCTCTATATATTGTTAGATCATTTCAAAATTAGACAAGAGCTGAGAAGCTAAAACTGGACTTAATTCTTTTAAAACACACCGTTGTTGCTGTCATCTGCAGCTACAGCTGTACATAGTGCAACACTAACATGTTCGTTTGGCTGTGACTTATCGTAAACTATCATAAATTTTCAGTCGGAACAGTATTTTTCTCTCACACAAACCAGCCAGCAGTACTTCTTCACGAACCAGTAACGAAACGAACCAGCCAACCGAACAGACTGATTGCTGTTGTAGCTGCAAACAACAAGGACGTGCTCGCTTGTTTGCAGCCGCAGCAGCAATAGAAAGCAGCACAAGCGAGTGGACTGTAAATTATAAGTCTTCTCGCTTTTGTAGATACATGTAGCGTGAAGAAATTCTTTTCTACAATGTTGGATAGCTGAGAGAAAGTTAACAAGGCCCCCTAAGGTAAAACAAACCGAACAAACTCGAAACAGCTAGCGCAGTGAAGAGAAAACGACCAAATGCGCGTGTATGAAACACTAAGGATTTGTTTGGAACGGAGGAATGCAAAACAGAGAAATAGAGAAAAATACAAAAATAGGAAAATAATAGAGGTTGAAAACACAGGATTGGAAAAACATAGGAATTTATAGAAATTGGCCTTTGAAACAAAGGAACATGGCTAGCATAGGAATTTAAGAGTTTTCATAGACACTCAATGGCTTAGGCTAAGCATATCAGTAAACAAAATTCCTTTCGTTTTATAAAAAAAGGTATAAATAAATTGGAGCATCATGGTCCACGTGCCAGATATTATCCTTCCTCCTACTCTGGTTGCTATGGTTCAATTGAGCACCCCGGTCTTTTCTATCTATCGTATGCTGTAGTACTACTTTAGCGTTATTTATCTTTTTCCTCGATTTCTCTGCATATCCGTCGTCAGGTTGCAGAGACAGTAAGCGCTCGTTCGCTCGGTAATCGCAAAGGAAAAGAAAACAAGGGGTCACGGTACATGTTTTCTTTCCTATGAAATCGACATCCAGCTACAGGAATCCAAAGAAAAGGAAAGCAAATTTCCTTCGTTCCAAAATACTCAGTCCAGCTTCCTTTCTTCCGTTTTCTCCTTCCTACGATTTTCCTTCGATCCAAACAGTCCCTAAAGCTACCAAATACTATCGAGTCCTTCGGCACCCACTCTAATCCGGTAGAGCAAGTATAGCAAGACCCATTCAGTTAGATGAAGAGTTATCATCTCCAAAAAATCAAAAAAAATATGAACCGAGTACCTAACTTAAAAGAAAATATTAAATCCACTTCGGTCCCCTTAACTATTGTGTTGGTCTAATTTTAACTCTCAACTATAAAAACTGTTTAATACCGGTACCCCAATTATTAAAACCGTTCACTTTTATCATCTGGCCGAAGGCAAGACTGTTTTAATCGACATGGAGCGGTTTTGACACACAGACTCCATCTCAGTGACATGTGGGGCCCACGCGTCATCGACTCAATCCCTCCCTCTCCGTCCTCACGGCCACGGCCACGGCCACGGCCTCGCGCTCCTGGACGCGAGGAAGGCGGCCGCGGCGCCGACCACGGCAGCACACGAGCGGTCCGCGAGCGAGCCGTGCCACCCGGCGCTCGCGCGCCTCCACGGCACCGTCCGCGCGCTCAGGGCGTGGTGCGGTGCCGGCGGAGCCTCCTCCTACGACGAAAAGGAGGCCACCGAGTCACCGACGACGAAGCTGTCAGAGCTGGAGTCCCAGCTGTCGCAGCTGCAAGACGAGCTCAAGAAGGCCAAGGAGCAGCTCCATTCCTCCGAGCTCTTCAGGAAGCGGGCCCTGCAGGAGGCCGACGACGCCAAGGCGCAGGCCGCCGCGGCGTCCGCGCAGGCGCGCGACTCCTAGGCGCAGCTCGCCGAGCTCTCGTCGGCCGAGGAGGCGCGCCTCCTGGAGCTGCGTCGCCTGTCTCAGGAGCGCGACCGCTCGTGGCAGTCGGAGCTGGAGGCCATGCAGAAGCAGCACGCCGCGGACTCGACCGCGCTGGCGGCGGCGATGGGCGAGGTGCACCGCCTCCGCGTCCAGCTCGCCGCCGCGGCGCGCGCCGACCGCCGGCAGGACATGGTGGAGGCGCTGGCCACCATCGACGAGCTCAGGGTGAAGCTCAAGGCGAGCGAGGAGGCCGAGGCGCAGGCGCGCGCCATGCACGAGGAGTGCAAGCAGCAGCTGGAGGCGAGCCGGGCCACCATCGATTCGCTGCTCACCGACGGGTCCAAGCTGATGGACTCGTTCAGCCTCGTGGTGAAGGAGCTCGAGGAGTCGCGTGCCAAGGTCAAGGCTCTCGAGGACGAGATCGCGGAGACGTCGTCGAAGGCCGCAAGCGACCGCTGCAACTGCTCGGGCTCGGAGTCGGAGGCCGCCGAGCTGAGGGCGGAGCTGGAGGCCGCGGAGGCCAGGTACCAAGAAGAAAAGATCCTTAGCACCGTCGAGACGCAGTGCGCGTACGAGCTCATGGACCAGATAAAGACAGAGCCCGGCCTGCGGCACGGCAAGCTCGCGGCGGCGCTCGAGGGCGCTAAGTCCGAGGTTATCTTCCTCAAGGCGAGCCTGTTGGACGAAGCCCGTTCGGATGGCTGCATTATTTCGTCGCTGCTTCACGAGGCTGCTGACTGGTTTATCTCAGAGAAAAATATTATTCTCGTTAGAAATTCACGATCATTTACGACGAGCCACGCTCAAACGAACAGGCTGAACAATAAGCTAGAAGCGGAGACAAGAACAGACAGCTCGGCCGACGCGCTGAAGAAGCAGCTGCAGGGCGCACTGCACGAGAACGGGCAGCTGAAGCAGGAGCTGCATCAGTACGAGTCCGAGAAGGGCTCCGCAACCGCGAGGACGGCGGAGGCGGCGAAGAAGGGCGAGATGGAAACCGAGCTGCGTCGCCTGCGGGTGCAGGCCGAGCAGTGGCGAAAGGCCGCGGAGACCGCCATGGCGCTGCTGACGGTTGGCAAGGGCGGGAACGGCATGGTCGTGGAGCGGAGCGAGTCGTGGGAGGGTGGCAAGTACGCGGGCCTCTGCGAGGAATTGGATGACGACGCGGCCGCCTTCCTCGTCGGCGTCCAGGAGCCCGAGACCGTGGCCGTGAGGATGGAGAGGGAGGGATTGAGTCGATGACACGTGGGTCTCACCTGTCACTGAGACGGAGGGTACGTGTCGAAACCGCTCAACGTCGATCAAAACAGCCTTGTCCCCGTCCAGTTGTTAAAAGTAAACAGTTAAGGTATTGATAAGTTAAGGGTTAAAATTAAACCGACATAAAAATTGAGGGGTCAAAAGTGAACTTAATCCTTAAAAAAATCTTTGCGTTGTGCTCTATTTGGAGTTATTTGCATTTTATTTGTTCTTAGTCCCGGTGTTTTATTGTTTGGAGTCATGTTCGTTACTTATCTAAATTATCATATTTGTACAATATCAAACATGGGATTGACCAAAAGAATCCTTAGCAAACTGCGTTTAAACGAGACTTTATAGATGACACCAATCTTGCAGGTGCTATGCTCACTACATGTAGATCATATTTGTGCATTACCACTAGTACTGACATTGCTAGCCCTCCAAAAATAATTTAGTTAATTTGACTCCAACATATTTGGTACTCAATTTAGAGTATGGATTCTCTTGGTCGATCTCTTAATTTAGTATAACACAAAATGATGACTTAAATAAATATCCAAAGAACTCTAAATCTAGGACCAATAGAGACATATATTTTTTTGATAAAATATTTTGGGTACTAGTTTCATGTTTGTGCCAATTCCAAAATGAATTAGTTATGAATTCTTAATAAATAAACCAAAGTTTTATTTTTTTGAAAAATACAAAACCACATTTGAAGCAAGCTAGAACACAAAATTTAGAGTTATATGGACAAAAACAATCTCCATAAGAATTGCATAGAAAAAAAAAAGAGCTATCCTTTTTACTGGCCATTAATTTACGCTAAATCTAACCGTCACTCGAGTGTTTTTTTGGCGCCATCCAATCTCTGCTGTTGGTCTCGATTTCCATCGTACTAGGCTGTAGGCCGTAGCTGGCTGATGCGCACGCGGTAGGAGGCCGGCTCAGGCGGTCAGCAGCACAGCACCCGGCCACATGCCCATCTCGGCCTCTGTGCGCCTGTCTCTGGTGCGTACTCCTCTGTAAAAAAAAAAGTCATTCTCGGATAAAAAAGACAGTAACTCTTAACTTTGACTAAATGTATTTAATAAAATATTAATATTTATAGTATATAATTATTATTATTAGATATATCGTTTAATATATTTTTATAATAAATTTATTTAGAAATATAAATGTTGTAAGTATTTTTTATAAATTTAGTTAAAATTAAGAAAGTTTGACTAACTACTCAATTTTTGAGACGAAGGTTTACTAGTAGAGTAGGCTGGCTCAGCAGAACAGCACCCCGTCTACCCACCTCGGCCTCTGTGCCTGTTGCGTAGAACAACTGCTCGATTCGCTGATAGATTATCAGACTGTTCGTACGTTGGAGCCATTCTAGTCAGTCAATATATTTTCCTTTCATAAAAAATTAGCATCAGTCAATCTAAATTAGCATCAGTACCCACCAGCGAACATGCCTTATATCTTATTGATCATATTTTAATATTTCTATTTTGTTTTAAGTTCTGTGTTTAATTGGTGTAAATTGATTCATCATGTTCGCTGATGCTAAAATTTGGTTTATGCTGAAATATTGTAAGAAAAAAATACTATTCCATGACCTAAAAAATAGCTCTGAATAAGCTAAAGCAAACATGGCCATTATTTGTAAATGAGAATGGTCAAAATGACTCGAACATTTATCTGATCATTTTTTGCTTTTTTTATATCTTTTGTATGTTTATTTGGTTCCTCTTTGGAATTTTTCAATTTGGCTTCCTTAGAAATGATCTGACTATTTTTTTTGTTTGTTTAATATTTTTTGTCTATATGGTTTATTTGTTTCAATTTAGCTTTTACAGAAATAATTTAGATATATTTTTTATTTTATATGTTCTATCTATTTGTATTAATTTTGATCATTTGATTTGGATCATGTGGTTACAGGAATCGAGTCATTTGTGGCCTTAAAACACTCGAATCCGTCGCCGAACCAAATTCGAGCATTTTTTAGCCGCTTGGCACTCGGGTGTCAGGACTTCCTGGAACAACCGAACGTAAAGTAGACAGACCCTTAATTTACGGATTGTTATTGGTGTGATTGCTTCGACAACCTGGATTTTTTCCTATGGGCATGGGACCCACGTATAGAATCAACCCCGATCCTATACATTGCTGGTAGTATAACAGATGACGTCTAATCGTTCATGGGGCCCAGCTAAGGACCACCCCTGGATCTATACACTGCTGGTGCCCTAGTCGTCTCTGTTCGTCTGAGACAGCCATCAAATCAGTCAGTAATGATCGTTTACGACCTCCCCGAACGTGCTATCCCCTTGGACCCCCTCCCCGTCTCCCATACGTACGCATCCATGCGTCTTCAACCGCAACCTCTCTCTGTCTCCCCGTCGTCAGTCGATCTTCATCTTCTTCACCGGCTCCATCACGTGTAGTACACTTCCTACTCCCTCCTTGTATATATATACACTCTGCGATCCCAGGAGTTTCTCGCTCCAGCAACACACACGTACGCCTGCTTCGCGCCCTCTCCCACGCCATGGCGCTCGGCAACATCCTCAACATTGCCGGTATCCTCCCGCTCTTGGTTGTCCTCTTCGCCTTCGGGGTCGTCTCCCTGCAGTGCTGCTTCAACACGTGCCACTGCCGCCGTGCCCAGCAGGCGGCGGCGTCGTCGCAGAGCGCGCTGTGGCGCCGTGGTGGCGGGACGACGGCGGTCGGAGGTGGTGACCCGGAGCAGCTGCTGCTGCGCTCGCTGCCGGCCACGGTGTACCGCGCCGCGTTCGAACAAGGAGGACGCTGTGGAGTGCGTGGTGTGCCTCGCGGAGCTCGAGGACGGGGAAGTGGCCCGGTTCTTGCCGTGCTGCAACCGTGGATTCCACGCCCAGTGCGTCGACACGTGGCTGGCATCCCAATCCACCTGCCCGCTCTGCCGGATCAACGTCGTCGCTCGCTAGCTAGGTCCGGCATGGCGCCGGTGCCCGCACTGGCTCTTCCTCTTGTCCCGCCCGCCTGAGCCCGAGAACTATACGCCGCCAACCTGCCCACGAGCGTGCTTCTCGAGTTGTCCGAGCTGCAGGGCGGGGGCGCGGCGATCGTGACCACTCTGAACACTGTGAGATAGAGTCAGGGGCTGTCGTCTCCCAGCAGACCAGCACCACGGCAGGTCCTGGGTCTGCGTAGCGATGGCGTGCTATTTTTAGAATTTAGACTGCTCCAAGCAAGACTTTTTTTTTAACACGATAATATTTTGCAAACTAACGCGCGTCTGACTGTGTGAACTTCATACATCTGGACAGAAATGGATAGAGTAGGATTTGATAAGATTGCACTTTTATACATAACTAGCAAAAATGCCCTGCCGTTGCAACGGGAAACACGATTTATTGTATGGTTATATTTACGACTTGTGGCTTGATATTTAATTAATTAACACGTCATGTGTTTCGGTTCTTCTTCAAATCAGATGTGTTTTTGCTCTAACTCATACAAACACAAAAAGCTTAGAGATTTATCCAATGATGCGGCATGCATTTTAATTTATCTTACAATTGAACTCTGCAGGACATGCTCTTCTAACTGTGGACCAAATACCTTTTTTTAATAAAAATAGCTCTAGCTGTGGCTTTTGTGATGAGATTCTCTGATGGAGCTAATAAACCTGTGTTGAAAAAATATTTGATAAAATAGCTTCGCCTGTGTTGAATTTTTTTTTGATAAAATAGCTTCGCCTCTTTATTATTAGGATAGATGCATGGCCATTTTTAGACTTTTGGTTGGAAAAAAAGTTCAAATAGATTGTTTGGCCCAATTGCAAACCTTGCTGAATCCCAGAAGCCAGAACCACGGGTAAAGTGCTGCGAAAGCACTAGTTTTTTTAGCGTTCTTCCCAGGACCGCTCCGCCGGACCCCGGTTGCCCCGGCCGGTATCCTACCTTGGCGGCGTGGCCAGCTCCAGCTGACTGCGGCTGGCTGCTCGGCCGGCCGGACGCCAGGCCTGGCGTGGCTGAGGTTGATTAGAAGGGTTGCTCAAAAAAAAAATGCTGCGGAACTAAGGCACAAGGGGGTGTTGCTCGTGATCTTGGACGCTTGGAGCTGTTGGCTATACGCCTCGTTCGCTTCGCTGAAAAAACAAACTGAAACATTGTTCCGACTGATTTGTTGTGAGAGAAAAATACTGTTTCAATTGAAAAAATAAATTAAAAAATACGGATTATAAAACAAGCGAACGGAGCCTATGTACACCACTATGCGAGTCCAACTCAAGGAGCAACCATATATAGTGGATATGGAAAGTATCACATAGACTGATAGGCTTGATGAGCATTGGCCCAACTAACAGAAGCCTAGTTCATTTCGGGCCTAAAATGGCTACGCAAGCTGGATTCTATTTTTCTATTCTTGTTATAAACAGTAAGATTTACTCTATCTATCTTGAAATACAATACTTAGAAATTCTTAGACATATTGTATGATGAACATCATTTAATATAAATTGTGGTGAGATGTCATGGTTACTATATTCAGTTTAGCAATAGAAACATTAATGGTATGTATGTGACGAATGCTATTTTTAATCTAAGTTGGGGGGTTACTTGACCCAGAATCTCTTATAATTTGCAACAATTTTAAATACTTGAATATCTTGTATTTTAGGATGGAGCCAGTATTAACAAGAGTTTTGACACTGATACTAAACTTCCGTACTTTGTGCAATCTGTTTCCATGATGATCTCTTGAGTTCACGAGACGTATTAAAGTTCTTTGTTTAGGTCTTCTTTGGCACAATTTCTACACTAGCTTTACAGGTGAAGCTCTTGAAAACTACTCTCACGTACGTAGGATTGAGGTGGGATGAAGCTAAAAATAGCAGCTTCACCCCGCTCACACTCACTCGGGTTGGTGTCAATATGCATAGAGGTCCGATTTGTCCTAGGCCGAACATGGGGTAGCTACCACTGGGAGTGAGGGCTCGGCCGCAGCAAGGCGTGGGC